CCCTTAGCACTGGGAGGAGCTGTGACTGTCTCTGAGGGATGGAAGCCTCCAGCAGCCTCCCAGAGGCTAGGGTAAATTACCTGTGGAAGACAGGAGGAGCAAACAGATTGTGCCTCCTCGGTGGCATTTACCAGCCCAGCGGGCAGCCTGGACAAGCTAGCTGCACCTTCCCCACATGGCTGTCAGGCCCGGTTTGTGAGATAAAAAAGGAAGGGAGCGCCTGACTACCTTTGTCCTCTGTCAGGAGTGGGTTGTGGCTCTCACTGGTGACGGGCCTGGGTGACAAGTGAAGTGCTTTGAGTAGTAACTGCAGGAGCAGGACCCTGAGCAGATCCTGCCAACACATGCTTCACCCCAAATTGTCACCCCGCACCCTGGACATGGGGACGGCCCCTTTGATGCGACCTTGCCAGGAAAACCAGCTGTGTTCCGATGAAGAGAAACTTGAAGAAACCCAAGCAGGGAAAGCAAAGATGCAGGACTGTCCACCTCGCTCTTAAACTTGTAGCCAACTGTGCCCATTGTTCTAGCGGGAGGGCTCAAGGAGGAAGTCCGTCTGCCTCCCCGGACAGCAGGTGAGGTACCTTCCCAGTGGACCCCCGCTGCTTGCTTGCTGCAGAGAATTGTTTGCACTAAATAACACTTCCCCCAAAGCAGCTTTGTTCTTTGTTAATTAGCTCATGTTCCTCAGAGCAGCCTGAAGCCCCATTTGCTGGGTGACGGTGGGTGTGTCCGAGGGCTGGTGGTGGGAAAGATGACAGGACCTTGTCACCCATTGCACACCCAGCTGCCCAGTGTCCTGAGTGCCTGTTAAATTCTTTATGAGATGAATCACCTGCATTAAACCTATTTTTTTAATGTGTTGATGGCGTGATTTTATGTTTTGCTATGCTGGGGCCCTGTACGTGCTGGGCAAGTGCTCTGAGACAGTGAAGCCCAAAATCTCTTCCTTCTCAAAGAATGTAGTGTAGGATGTCAGAGACCATTCCCTGCAGGATTGAGTTCTGAAAGCGTCTGAGTTTAATGTTAAGTGTAGAATCCTCAAAACAGTAATTCTACCGTGTTGGCTGGCCTGCCAAGAGCCTAGAGTTGAGTTGTTCAGTAAAAGTGAGGGATGGATTTCTGTTGCTTTCCAGAGAGGACAGGAAAGCCTGTGGGTGCCTTGCTCACTGGGAGATGTAATATCTAGATGCCGGGAGGAGCAGGAACCCAAGCTTTCTCTTTTAGCTGTGTTTGTGGATGTTACTAGGGATTTTTTTTTTCCCCGAGACAGGGTTTCTCCGTAGCTTTTGGTTCCTGTCCTGGAACTAGCTCTTGTAGACTAGGCTGGCCTCGAACTCACTGAGATCCACCTGCCTCTACCTCCAGAGTGCTGGGATTAAAGGCGTACGCGACCACCGCCTGGCTGGAATTTTTTTTTTTTAATTCCACATGCATGTTGTATAGACTGCATGTATGTCTGTGTGCCACTTGCATGTCTGGTGCCCATGGAGGCCAGAAGAAAGTACTGGAGTCCATCGGACTGGGATTAGACAGTTGTGAGCCATCATATAAGTTCTGGAGATCAAAAATGGGGTCCTCTGGAAGAGTGGCCAGTGCTCTTAACTGCTGAAGCAGCCCTCTAGCCGTTACTAGGAATTTTGAGGGAGGGAGTAGGGTCTTGCTAACTTGTATAGGCTGGCCTTGAACTCCCACATGCTGTGATCAGCATGAGTTACCATGTCCAGCTTGGGGCTTGTTTTGTGTGTGTGTGTGTGTGTGTGTGTGTGTTTTAGTTTAGTTTTTCTAGACAGGGTTTCTCTGTAGCTTTGGAGCATGTCCTGGAACTAGCTCTTGTAGACCAGGCTGGCCTCGAACTCATAGAGATCCGCCTGCCTCTGCCTCCCCAGTGCTGGGATTAAAGGTGTGTGCCACCACCAACCAGCAGTGTGTGTGTGTGTGTGTGTGTGTGTGTTAAAAAGATTTTTTGTTTTATGTCTATAAGTGTTTCTCCTGCATGTATGTATGTATATCATGTATGACCTGATATCTGCAGAGGCCAGAAGAGGGCAATAGATCACTCTGGAATTGGTTGGTCGTGAGCCCCCTGTGGTGCTGGGAAGAAATCCAGTACCTCTGGAAGAACAGTTAATACACTTACTAACAGGCCATCTCTCCAGCCTTGCATCTTGCTTGGTGATTTGTTTTGTTTTGTTTTTTGAGATAGGGTCTCAGCCAAGCGAGGGAAGCAAACACCTTTGATTTTAGCATTCAAGAGGCAGAGACAGGCAGGTGTCTGGATCTTGAAGTTAGAGACCAACCTGCCTCTGCCTCCTGAGTGCTGGAAATGAATACAACAGCAAGTCCACACCCGAGTTTTAGGGGGTTTTGTTTGTTTGTTGTTTTGTGTGAGTGTGTGTGTGTGTGTGTGTGGTTTTTTAAGACAGTGTTTCTCTGTGTAACAGCCTTAGCTGCTATCCTGGAACCAGCTTTGTAGACCAGGCTGGCCTTGAACTCAGAGAGATGCTCTTGCCTCTGCCTCTCAGGTGCTGGGATTAAGGGCATGCGCCACCAAACCTAGCAAGTTGTAGTTTTTTAATAAAAGTAAATTGCAATTCCTTTGTCCAAGACAGGTCACAACCTGAGGAGGGGGAACTTAGCTTCATAGACCGGGGCTGGAGCTTGGTATGGATGGGGCTTCTGGCCCAGGTAAAGTCATGTTGAGAGATAGTCCTGGCATGGCTGCCCAGGCACACTTATCGAGAATCCAGAGCTGGGCTCAGCAGCAGATAGGCATGGCGAGGGTAGGCTCAGTAGCCCCTAAGCCACTCACTGAACCAGAGGAGACACACATTTTTTCCAGGAACTTTCTGGGCCTGCTTTGTTTTCTGTGGGTCTGGAGTGGTTGTTTGGTTGGTTTTACAGTGCTGGGGACGGAACCCAGAGCTGACCTTGTAACAGACAAGTGGCTTTTGCTTAGTCTCACCCAAAGCCCTGGAGTGTTCCTCGTTGTCCCTTTGCTGGGAAGAACAAGAAATCAAGTTGAAAGGCCTTGTTTGAGTGGACACCATCATCACTTCCCTGTCGGGCCGCTGGGCCACTGAGCACGGGGGAACATGACTACTAAGAACCAAGCTGCTCAGATCACAGGTACCCAAGGGCCAGTGGTTGGCACAATAGAGGTATTAACCTGCTCCAGGATCTGCAAGCCATGGCTTCCTAGTGCGCCACGGGCCTTGAAAGAGCCTGGTTGAGCTAGTCCCTCTTGATAGCCAGGAGCCCTCCTGGCACTTGAGAGTTATGAAGTAACTCCTGGCTTCCCTGCTCAGCAGGATGAGCCTGTGGGTCACATTACCTGGACATTAGCACTGTTTTTGAGTGTGTTGGCCTTGAGGCCCTAGGTGATGTTTTGAGCTGTATCTGGGGCTGCAACCTGTCCGAGGAAGGCTGGTGATTGCTCTTAGCAACAGACACATAAGCCAGGTCCTGGATAAGGCAGCATTTTGAAGCATAACCCAAGAAACTCCATTAGTAACTCTGCCTCTGCAGGGTGGAGAGACACGTTAGGACTACTCCCCAGGCCTGAAATTCTTCTAAATGTCTTGTTTCGAGCAGATTCATTTGTTTATAAAGGCACCACATCGGAGTATAAAAATGGGAATGACCGGGCAATGGTGGTGCATGCCTTTAATCCCATTACTCGGGAGGCAGAGGCAGGTGGATCTCTGTGAGTTCGAGGCCAGCCCGGGCTACAAGAGCTAGTTCCAGGACAAGCTCCAAAGCTACCATAAAAAAAAAAAAAAAAAAAGGGAACGACCCAGCTGCTGTAGGGCAGGGCAAGGGGAGCTGAGGACAGGGGAAGTAGGAGAAATGATGGGCCAGCCTTGGACACAGATACAATGTACCTGCCCACAGAAGTCCTCAGTGGCTGGATCAACACTGACAAAGCTGCCCATCTGGTCAGCTGCTGCCACCCTGAGTCCATGCTGCATATGAGGTAAAAAAGACAACGGGGACAGCTTCCAGGCTGACCTTGTGACCTGGCCTTGTAAAGAAGGGTAGGCAAGGAGTGCTGGCTACCCGGTGGGTGGTGGGAAAGGAGAGGCATGAAGGCCAGGAGTTCAGCCACCAGCTAGGACTGTTCTGAGGTTGGCAGGGCTGCCCAGCCTAGAGCTGGCTCAGGGGACCCAGTGAGAGCACTTGGACAGCAGTCTCAGGTGGCCAGATGTTAATTTGAGAGACAAGAGCTGGGTTCTGGGTCTTCGTGGAGGGTGGCAATATATGATTGGTCCACACCAACAAGAAAGGGGCATCCAAGGTAGAGGGGCCTGGCCCATGAACACCTGGGGGCTCGTCCCTGGGCAGGATGGTTGGGAGTCAGGGCCAAGGAAGGAGGAGTGGAGGTGAGCAGGCTGCAGTAGGAAAGCTCAGCCAGGGGTGAGCGATACAGAAGGAAAGGCTGAAGCCAATTCTGTCTCCCCATGACTCAGGTTCTTTCTAGTTCATGTGAGGTACAGGGAAGGGGTCACTGTGTGTCACCTACAATCCTGGGGAGAGGATATGTATATGTATATATAATATATAATAGTCTCCCTCAGTAACAAATGGGATCAGAGCCAAGAAGCCAGCAGAGGGCGAGTGACGACAAGAAGGGTGCCGTGCGGCTGGGGAATTTCTAGAAATAAGAAGCCAGGGGCTGCAGGGCCCCAAGACTTGGGATGGACTAGAGGCTCCCATTCGCTGCTCCTGGGCCAAGTAGCAGTTCCTGCTGTCCCGGGTGGAGACCCAAACCAGCACGGGACCTGTGACCTTCCCAGGGTGGTGCGAGGAAGGGAGCCAGATGGTCCCTACTCAGCAAGGATGGCAGGGGCAACCCAGAGCACAACCCTGCGCTGCCAGTCTCAGCTGCACAGTTATTGACGTCCCCTGACCTTGGGAAGGCCCCGTCCCTGCCAGCGAGTGAGGGGGAGGGAGCCAGCGGCGCCTTCGCATGCTGAGTCAGCGTTTTGTGGGGACGGAAACGTGCTGGATCCACAGCAGCCAGGGTGCCTTTCTCTTCTCCGTTTTTGGTCTTGTTCGGGAAAAAGGGTCCCCATCTGCCTGGCCCTACTAAGAAGCCTTCCCTCCCCTAGAGGCACTAGCTCCCAGGAAGCAACAGTCCCGGACTGAAGCAAGCAGGGGCCATTTTCCGGAAATCCCAGCATTCTGGCATGCCTCCCCAACAGTTCCCAAAAGAGGCAGCTGCCCCCCAGCAGCAGCCTTGCCTAGGCTTGGATGGTCCAGCGCAGCTGATTCAGCGATCCGGGGCCCAGGGCCCCTCCCCCGCCCTGCCAGGCAGCTTGCCCGGGCCTGTTGGCAGCTGTGTCACATGGGGCCTCGGGCAGAGTTGTGTGGCCCGCACTGCGCCTGGGGATGGGTGGCAGACTGAAGGGCACAGACTGCCAGGTGTCCCCTCCCTCTCTCCCTGTCCAGCTCCCCCTCCTCGGCAGTGCTTTTCCAGTCTCCTGCAGAAGAGCAGCCATAGGAGGGTGCCACGGGCCCCCGTGAGGGGAGGCGCCGGTGTGGTGCCACTGAGCTGTGCTTTGGGACCTCTGGTACAGTGGAAACTCTCATCCCGTTCCAAATAAACAGCCTCTACTTCCCCAGCACACCCCCAACACAGCCAGTCTCTCAGAAGCCAGGGTCTGGGGTAGAGTTCTTGTCCATCTCTGGTGGGGCCAACTGTGGCCATCTCCCAGGATGGGGAGGGGTATCCCATCCTGACTAGCCAGCACAAGATAGACGCTGGGGCCCCAGGGGCTCCCGTATGATCAGGAACAGAGCAGGGAGGAATTGAAGCAGGTACCCTCTTCTCTGAAAGTCTAGCTTGTAGCTGGTCTTGCTGCAGCCCAGAGTTATGTCTTAACTGTGGACCCTGGACAGGACAGGGGAGTCTGTGGGGATCCCTGACCCAGTCTAGGGGCACAGCTGTGCCAGCCACTTGAGAAAATGGGACCTGGATTCAAGTTTGATGAGCTGATACACCGCACTTGGTATCCTGTTACCGTGGGGCTACGGGTTCAGGTGAGCATTAAGGGGCAGGGTGGGCTGGAGCTACAGAGGAGGGTAGGAAGGGTCGGGTGAGACTGGCCAGAGGCGGAAAGAGAAAGCTGGATTGGTCAGGGGGGCATGGCCAGTAAGGCAGGCAGGAACTGTGATGGGTCGGGTCACCTGTGGGAGTGTGGGGTGGGGGTGGGAGTGGGGGCAAGATGGACACCCTGTCAAGCTTGGAAGCCCAGAGGTGGACACAGCAGTCATCAGCCTCAGACTGACCTCACTCCCCACTCATTAAATGAGGACAGGTATTCTTTCCCCTTTCGTGGAATATTAATGACAGTCCTGCCGGCTGCTGCATGAATATTCATGCAGAGATCAATCAAGTCCAGGCTTCTGATGGTGGCACCCGTGGAGGCACCAGAAATGGGACCCACCAGGTAGCTGATGATGTATGGAGAGAGCACCATCAGGGGCGTGGCTGTGCGCCCCGCCACTCCCGCAGGTCCCTTACCCTCTGGACAAGCAGGTAGCATCCTGCCCTGTGGCCACCCTCAGTCTGAAGCATCTGCTCAGGTTTTAGTGTGGATGCTATAGTCGAGTGGTGATCTTTGTGTGCAGCCAAAGATGGATCCCCGGAAGACCGGCATCAGAGTTCCTGAGCAAGCTACAGCCTGAAGTACTAGGCAGCTTCAGCTAGTTTTCCAGACAGTCCCAGTAACTTTAGGCTGTGTGTTGGGCCAGCCTGCTGGGCTTTCTAGTCTATCCAGTAGGCACAGCCAGCATGGCCTCTCCCTCCTTGCCTCTGTGGGGAACGCGGTTGTTACTTAGAAGAGGCTAGAAGGGGAGCTCCATGTGTGTCTCTCCCAGCCCCAGCTGTTTCAGGCTTTGCTCTGCACCCGCCGCCTGCCTGGGGAATGAGGAAGCCCAGCATTAGTGAAAATTCATTATTTACAGCTCTATGACATCATAATAACATAAATTATTTGTGTGTTTTCCGAATTGTGCTGTGATAACCCTGGCTGTCTTCCTGGCTCTGTAATATGCAAGGCACCCCCTGAACACCACCATCTCTGGTAGCACTGGCCACAGCATCTGCAGGCTGACACCTCAGCCCCACGCCCATCCCTGCCAGCAGGTGCGTGCCTGTCATGTGTTTGTTGGTGCAGAGGTGTGTGAGTGTGAGTGCTGGGCGTGCAGGCGCATCTCCACGGTTCTGTTTCTCATTTCGGTTTGACTGTTCTCTATCCTTCTAGATGTTTTGATGGCTAGAAGAAGCCCAGATGGCAGCCTAGAAGAAGTCCTGCCAGAGACAAGGTCTAAGGTAAATAGAGGGCAGACAGGTGCTCTTTCCACGCCTTCCCACACTTAGCCACTGTCTGCTCCAGGACCAGTGAAATAAGGGGAGGGAACAGGAGGCAGGACCAAGGCTGCAGGCTGTAGAGAAACAGTGTAGGGAGCATCCTAAGTGAGCCAAAGCCTATCCCACAGCATATAGCCCCTGGAGGAGGCCTGGATGGGATTTCAGATCCACCCTGCTGGCCCCACATTTTTGGTAGTCCTCAGGGTACCATACAAGGCTGGGAGGACCAGAGGAACTGAGTGGCACAAACACATTCCTGAGTTTTCCTTACTCTTAGGCTGCATCCTGTGGGCCAGAGTCTCTAGGAGTAACCTCGCAGAGAGTGCCAGACCTGCTCTCTGAGCAATGTCCTTGAACTCAGTGGCCAATTGTTGAATGAACGAGCGAGCAAGCACATGAATGGATTGTTGTCTCTCGCGTCCCCAGGCCTGGCACTAGACAGGCCTTCTGTGCTCACTTTCTGAATGACGGTGTCAGACCTAGCTGCTGACCCCGTCTGGACTTCTTTCTGCAAACAATATGTCCAGCTCTTCCCCACTATGGCCAGCAAAGGGTATACAGTTAACACCTAAAGTGCCATACCCTCTGGGGCAGGATTTATCTGGGGCTCTGTTGTCCCTCCTGGAAGATGACTGCTGGCAACCAGCTCGACCCTCAGCCTCCTCCAAAGCCGGAGGCAACAGCTGTGAAGCAGCTGCACTGAGCAGTGGAGGGAAATTTAGGACAAAAGAGGAAGGAGATTAGAGCATCCAATTTAAATGGAGGGGAAGCATTCAGAAACCAAAACCGTCCTGCCCTAATTCCTGAGCAGAGGGAGTCACGGGCTCTGCAGCAAAGACAAGGAACCAAAATACTCACCCAGTTTTCTCCTGCAGAAGGGATCCAAGCTCTCTTGGCTAGGAGCCCACACATGTCCCTGCCCCAAAGAGAGATCCACACCCTGAGGAGGATGATGATGAAAGCCCACCTGTGTCTTCCTGGTCACACCCTTTCAGGACCGACGCTGGGCTGTGGATTCAACGGGGACTCCGTGAGCATCTCCATGGCAGGCCCAATGGTGGGGCCAAGCACACGTGTGGTATATGGACAGACCCTGTATTAGTGTTCTAGTGCCGTGAAGAGACACCATGATCACAGAACTCTGGTAAAGGGAAGCATTTCATTGAGGCTGGCTTATGGTTTCAGAGGTTTGCTCCATTGTCATCATGGTGGGGATCATGGTGGCATGCAGGCGGACAGGCTGCTGGAGAATTAGCTGAGAGTTCTACATCTGGATAGGCAGGCAGCAGGAAGACAGCCACTGGGCCTGGCTTGAGCTTCTGACACCTCAAAGTCTTTCCCCAGTGACACACTTCCTCAGACAAGGCTACACCTACCCCAACAAGGCCACACCTCCTAATCCTTCTATGTAGAGCCACTCCCTGATGACTAAGCACTCAAATATATGAGCCTATGGGGGTCATTCAAACCACCACAGAGCTGGACTCCAGCATTGGCAGATGCCCAGCCCCAGTGTCAGCCTTTCTGAGACTATGATGAATTTCCCCAGCTTTCATCCCAGTCCACATTGCTTGTGCCTGGACCAAATAGAGGGGAACAGGGTACAATTCAATTTCCCTGGCTGGTTGGTGCCTTGACTCAGGCTCCTACAGTTAGGAGTATCTCAGTGGGTGGTCACAGGGTTCACAGAAGCTACCCACGTGAGGGCTTCTTAGGAGCCCAGCCAGGTGAATAAGCTCACATTTTTATTCCAGGCTCTAGCTACATCTGACTGCTAAACAAAGGCCTTACACAGCTTTCCTTCAGAAGGAGAGGTGGAGGGAACGGCTGAGGCTTAGATGGACCTGATTCTGCTCTCAGAATTTCACTGGTGAAGTGGGTGGGGTTCTTTTATCAGAGTGAGCAGTGGGCTGATTCTGCTGTTCACCTGCTCCACCAAGCCGCCAGCTCACAAGCAGACAGGGTCATCTGGGCCACCAGGCTTGCAAGTACTGGGGGACCAGGCCTGTCATGCTCACCCTGGCTTAGCCTCCAGTGAGGGTGAGGGGTAGATGGAATGATGCCAAGTGAATGAAATGAAGCGGGGCCCAAGCAGGGTTGGGGAGAACTGCAGGCCAGCTGACTCTGACATTACCTTCTCAGGGACTCTAAGTTCTTCCGAGGCAAATTTCCAGACCTAAGCCAATGTAGCAGGAGCTGAGGTCAAGGACACTGTGCCCTGGTCTGAGAGGTGAATCAACAGGATAAAAGGAGTGTGTGCGTCCAGAAAAGCTGGGTTGCGTGGTTTTTAGGGTAGACTGCCTGCTGCCTGTCTATCCATCAACCTATAATCAAGAGGTAACAAACTGGAAATGGCACACACCTTTAATAGAGCACTTGGTAGGCAGAGATAGGTGGATCTCTGTGAGTTTGAGGCAGCTTAAACTACATGCAAGTTCCAAAATAGCGAGAGCTACACACAGAAACCTTGTCAAAAAACAAAAATTAGAAGTCAAATAAATTAATAGAGATGCAAGGAGAAATTTCTGCCCTGAGGACAAGGGGACAGTTGCCATGAGCAGCGGTCTCCCAACACCTTGCCCATATATTTCAGGAAAGGCTTGACTTGTTGGGGCAGCCACAGCATGGGGCACCTAACCTCTACAGTGAGAATCAGAAATGCCCCACTCCTGCCCCTCCTCTTGGTGTCTGCGGGGCACTTTTTGTGTGATGGTGAAACCCAACACAGACTGCACCATCTCAGTGGTTTCTGAGTACCCAATGTGTTGAGCTAAGTCACACTGCTAGGTAGAGGTCACCAGACCCCATTTCTGTGGCTACTGCCTCTGTTCAAACTCTGGCTGCCCACCTCCTCCCCTCACCCTACCTTTGGTTTCCATGGATCTGAGGACTCTGGGGACCTTACCGGAGTGGAGGCTCACAGGATATAACCTTTTGTGAGTGGCTTAATTCTCAGCGTGTGATCCTCAGAGTCAATCCCTGGGGTGGCAAGTGGCAGACCTCCTCCCTGCTGAGGCTAAGGTGACTGTGTTGTGTGGATGGACCCTTGCCGCTTATCCACTGCCCCTCATTGCTTGCTGCTGCTCCCACCGTTGTTTGATATGCCGATATATACACGCGTGTGCAAGTAATCCCACTGGCACCTGCTTTTATTTATTTATTTTAAATTATTTTATCTAATTATAGGTAGGTAAGCTCTCTCACTGCTGTCTGTCCCAACTCCTCGCTTTCACCCGTCTTGGGTGCTCGCTCAAGAGGAAGGGCTGCTGGGTTATAGGGTCACCTTTGTGCATTGATGGGGAGAGTCTGTCAGGGAATTTCATTTTTGGGAGGTGGGGTTTTGAGACAGGGTTTCTCTTTAGCTTTGGAACTCACTCTCTAGACCAGGCTGGCTTTGAACTCACAGAGATCTACCTGCCTCTGCCTCTCAAGAGCTAGGATTAAAGGCGTGCGCCACCACCACCCCACTCCCAGGGGATTGCTGCTTGCTTTTGCTCTTCCTTCCTTCCTTCCTTCCTTCCTTCCTTCCTTCCTTCCTTCCTTCCTTCCTTCTTTCCTTCTTTCTTTTTGTTTTTTTAGACAGGGTTTCTCTGTGTTAACAGTCCTGGCTGCCCTGGAACTCACTCTGTAGACCAGGCTGGCCTTAAACTCAAAGAGACTGTCTCTGCCTCCTGCATGCTTGGATTAAAGGCATCCACCACCACCACCTAGCTTTTCTTTCCTTTTTTTTTTTTTTTGGTTTGTTTGGTTTTTCGAGACAGGGTTTCTCTGTGGCTTTGGAGCCTGTCCTGGAACTAGCTTTGTAGACCAAGCTGGTCTCGAACTCACAGAGATCCGCCTGCCTCTGCCTCCCGAGTGCTGGGATCAAAGGCGTGCGCCACCGTCGCCAGGCCTCTTTCCTTTTTTTTCAAATGTGACTATTGATTTTGTTTCATGTGTATTAGTGTTTTGCAGGCGTGTATGTGTGTGCACACCGTGCACACAGGGCTGAAGAGAGGGAGCACTAGAGCTGCAGCTGGGGTTAAGGATGGTTGTGAGTCACCATGTGGGTGCTGGAAACTAAACCCAAGTCCTCTGCAAGAATGGCAAGTGTTCTTAACCACTGAGCCACCTCTCCAGCCCTGCCATGTGATTTCTCAAGCCGTGCCTGGCCCCATGTCCCCAGCCACCCTCAGGATTCTGAGTTTTCCATATCCTATCAGTCCTGACTGCTCAGTTGTTTCCTTTTTTCCATTTTAGCTGCAGCAATGAGAGTATGTGGGGGTCTCACCACGTGTACAGCATGACAGCTGTCTCTGGTGGCCCAGGCTGGCCTTGAACTCGTTCTGAAGCTGAGGATGACGTCAATTCCTTGACCTAGTGTCTCCACCTCCCAAATGGCGGAGTTGCAGTGTATGCCATACCCCGTTTACGCAGGGCTGAGGATAGAATCTGGGGGTTTGTTCATGTTGGCAAGCACTGTACCAACCTGCACACAGTATCCCCAACCCCCGATACACTCTATTCATAGGTCGATCTTCTCTCCTGGGACAGAAGTCCACAAGAAGCTCCTCATAGAAGCCCTGTTTTCTTTCTTTTCTTTTTTTTTTTTTTTTTTGAGACAGGGTTTCTCTGTAGCTTTGGTGCCTGTTCCGGAACTAGCTCTTGTAGACCAGGCTGGCCTCGAACTCCCAGAGGTCTGCCTGCCTCTGCCTCCCAAGTGCTGGGATTAAAGGTGTGCGCCACCTCCGCCCGGCAGCCCTGTTTTCTTATAGCCCCCATCTGTGGTGCCCATTATCTCTTCCCGTCCGCAGGGAAGGCCTTGGCCTGCAGAATCCCAGGCCATCTTTATTCTGGGCTCAGAATCTAAGTCCCACAGTCAAAGAACTTGAGTAGATTCTGTGCTTTCAGTAAGTGGCAGCTCCTGACCCTTCAGTCCCAGGAAGGGGGCAGCTGTGGCTGCTGTTGCTGCTGCTGTTGCTGCTGCCGAGCACTGGCTGGGGTACTGAGGACACTTTCCCTGAGGACCTGTGTTGTGTGACAAGACTTTTCCTGGGGAGACACAGCACACACATCTTCTCACCCCAGATAAAGAGACCATGACAGATACCACTAACGTCCAACATAGTGAACCAACGAGTTTTATTGGGGTTATTTACAGGAATGTGGGGGAGGGGGTACTTACAGGAGCAGACAGGACTCAGAGACAGCTGCATCACCAAAGCCAACCCCAGCATGGGTGACAGCTCACAGGAGCTGGGAACCTGGAGCACACTGCCCTGCCTGCAAGTGGGAGAATGTCCCTTCCAAATGACTCTTTCTAATGACTTGTTCTAAACTTCTTCTGGCAGTTTGGCTGGTTGCTGCTTTTCCAGGCAGCTGGTCTGTCTGAGTCTTCTTTGCTGCTTGGCTGCTTTGAGAGTGACTCTTCGGGTTTTTATTGATTACTCATGTGAGGAAGGGGACCCAGTGAATCTGATCGGTTTCAGGGACTTCCTCAAGCTGTTTTGAACTGTTTACCGGTTGGCTTAAGGAGTTTGCCCTCAAGGATAAAACGTTTCCATCTCAGGGAAACTGTCACATAACAATCCATCACCCAGGCCTGAAAGATGACTGGAATTCAGCTGTCAGAGTGGGAAGGTAACATGTTCCATCTCAGAGGAGTCACAGGAACAAAGGTCCTGTGGCCGCTAAGGACAATGTGGTTAGCAGGTGGCAGGCTAGGGAGAAGGTTGAAGCCAGATAATCACTAGGTACAGGAGGGACAGAGCAAGAACACACACCTTAGGTGTCACACGCCACCCTCTTCCCCAGCACCTGCATCTGTCTGCAGGACAGGCAGAAACATAGGCACCTAAATTCCTTCCCACATGGATCTGCCTGATTCATGAGGCCCTTGAGTACTGGGGCTGGAACTCGGGGGCCTGTCACTGGCTTCTGCCTCCTGAGCCAGCCCATTCCTGTTCGCCACAGAGATGAGTACCTGATGTGGACACGAGCCTCCTAGAAGGATCGGTGTCTGGCCTCAGAGCCAAGGCTGACTTGTTGGACTCAGCATCGTTCTCAGAAATGACATTCAAAGGTACTGGAGGCCCCAGGTGCTCAGTCAGTCAGGGTGACTTCCCGTTTGAAGTAGAACCTGGGCAGGGGCCAGAAACATGGCCTGTGGCCCCAACCAGAGTCCATACTGGTAACTGCCAAGATACTAGATTCAAGTCAGGGGAAGGGCAAGAGCCTTTGTGGGCGGCTCAGTGGAAGATGCTCTGCCCACACACCTCAGAGCATCTTCCTTTGGTTTGAGTCTGTGTAGCCTGCCAGTTGAGCTGGATACCCAGGCTCTGGGCTCAGAGTGAAGACAAATGTGGGCTGGTGTCCACAGTTGACCAGCAGAATTGTGCTCTGGCGTGGCTGCCGCCTGGGTCCCCAGCGAGGTAGTGGAATGAGGCCCCTCCTCATGTTCTGGGTCAGTCTTGCTGAGAACAGCCTTTGCCCACTTGCATTCCTGGGTGTTACAAGCCAGCCAGTTTGAGGGAACTCCGGTGGGCTTACTGTTGGGGAATATA